AGTTTCCTAAAGTTCACACGCTTTTCAAAGAGTCATCAAATCACGCCACGATTGTCACGAATTCCATCGAAAACATAGGTCATCGTTATTAGGAACGTGTATCATAGCTTGAGATATACTCTTTGATATCTTACCAATCAGTGCGCCATATTCAGAGTTACCAGATTTGCTCTCAAATGTTGAAATTGTCCGTCTTGTGAGGCACCCCTCGCCCTTGAGTGTATGGACTGGTCACGACTCATTTTTTAGTAGTGGGCGGGTTGGTCATTTGACGGTATACGGTTTGATCATAACACTTGAATGTGTTTACATTCAATAAAAGTAGATTTATATTTCCCGAATCCCCCAAAATTGGGACTGTGAACATTGGAACCGGTTGTGAAATTTAGTAGGAAGAATAATTGGTGTAAATAGACTTGTTGAAAGTACAAGTATTTTCCTAGAAAATTCTAGGGATTGATAAATGACATTTAACACAAAGACACAGATGCTATTTTTGAGGACTTTGAATTGTTTTTAAGTCATTACAAGAGTTGTTTCCGTTGATATGTGACAGTGATCTAGCCTTGTCAGATTTAAAGTATCCTGAGAAAGTATAAAAGAAAGATCATCGAAAATTGTTCTTCCAATGGTGAGTGTGTCCTGTTTTTCTGTTGTAGCAGTGCAACGGTTGTGGAAGCCTTGGGTGAATCTTTCCACGAGGTCCCAAAAATATGTCGAAGCTTTGTAGTACATCTGATCGATGATAAACTTACTCGAGATGATCAGGCCCTCACTCGGCGTCGCGCACGCCAGAGAGAAACATTTGAATCGAGTGATTTCAACCCATGGGTGACACCAACTGAGTGCATGTTTGTGTCTCTAGATGTCACGAAGGAGTTATGCGACATGCTTTACAATTAGTGTCCATTAGATTGTCAAGATATTAATTATGCCTATAACATATGCAAAAGTTTGTTTTTCTATGTCAACATTTCACACTTTTATTCACTTATATATATAAGGCTATATACTTTGAGATATGGTCAAGGGAGCAAACTGATATATGTGCCTATGAGCGTGCGAAAAGTTGTGGAAAGTCTCCTTAAAGTAACTGAGATAACTTTTGGTTTATGCAGTATCACAAATGTGACTTTGAATTCACACTTTACAGTAAAATAGGACAAGTATCTTTAGAAAAGTGTTTTGACCAACCCGTACACCAACTGTTTAGAAAAAGTGACCAACCCTGCAGTGTATGCCAAACCAACCCGTGCACTAATAGCATTGACGGCCGCTATGTTTGTTGACACTGGCAAGCTCAGTTGTAACGGCGGCTTATCTGATTGGCTACTGAGAGAATGTGGAGCCAACCAAGGGAGGTAATAAAATCATCGGCTCGAACCGTAGATGCATCCAGGGTATAGTGGAGATTTATCGGATTCGTAACGTAAATTTCACTAACATCAAACACACTGTTCTATTGTCACTTATCTCTCATTATCCAGCTTAATTGTTGCATTTAGAGAGAGAGAGAGGGAGAGAGAGAGGTTTTACTTCATTTTCTATTTTACGTCTGATTTATTGCAGTACGATTGCGTCAAGCGTATTGATAAACTCGTACACATATTTCATAGTTCAGTTTTGATTTAACGTTGGTGTTTCAACTTGGGAATCTACACGTTACGCCGGTCAAGGTTTATCATAAGTGATAGCACATATTTACGTTTCGTCAAAGATTTGTCTCATGGAGAAATGACCATATGGTTTCGCTGACACGCGTTAGAGTAAAGTTATATACTTTGGAACTGACGTCACCAGAAACTTGTGACATACATACATAATTGTACAAACGACAGTTGGGATCTACTCTAGGAGTGGCGAACAGGTCACAGACAAGACTGAAAATCTTATCTGTCTGTTGGGCCTTAACCACCAATTCCAATTTTTTTAATGGTTAATTGTTTCCTGGACAACTCATGCATTATTGAGATTTGTTGAGCTTAGAACAGGTTCTATTTAATACATGGAATGGTCAAGGGTGGTGTCAGCTCACTCGCCAAGGTTGTCTCTCTTTGCTGGGAGGTATTGTTCTCGTTATATCAGGTATAAATCATTAGACCGAGATCAGTCCTAGAACCATATTAGTTCCAGATTGTCGTCTCTTCTGTGTCATGTTTAGTGAGTGTAACTGTGTACACACGCTATTACTGCAACATAAATACATTTGATTTATTTGATGAACGCCGTTTGGAAGGCATGGCTGCTTGGTGCATTTCGCCTCGAGTTCACCACTCAAGGTTGGAACAGATTGTGGATTTGGAAAGACCAATAAGTGTGTTCTGGTCCCACATATCCCACAATGCATTGACGCAACGGAGCTCTTCCGTTGACCCCAACAGTACGCTGAGGTTTACTTTCACACAACACTGCCGTTTACCTCTACATAACCCTGTTTACCTCTACATAACACTGTTTACCTCTACATAACACTGTTTACCTCTGCATAACACTGTTTACCTCTACATAACACTGTTTACCTCTACATAACACCGACGTTTACCTCTACATAACACCGACGTTCACCTCTATAACACAAAATACTGACGTTTACATCTACATAACACTGACGTTTATCTCTACATAACACCGACGTTCACCTCTATAACACAAAATACTGACGTTTACATCTACATAACACTGACGTTTATCTCTACATAACACCGACGTTCACCTCTATAACACAAAATACTGACGTTTACATCTACATAACACTGACGTTTATCTCTACATAACACCGACGTTCACCTCTATAACACAAAATACTGACGTTTACATCTACATAACACTGACGTTTATCTCTACATAACACCGACGTTCACCTCTATAACACAAAATACTGACGTTTACATCTACATAACACTGACGTTTATCTCTACATAACACCGACGTTCACCTCTATAACACAAAATACTGACGTTTACATCTACATAACACTGACATTTACCTCTACATAACACCGACGTTCACCTCTATAACACAAAATACTGACGTTTACATCTACATAACACCGACGCTTACCTCTACATAACACCGACGTTCACCTCTATAACACAAAATACTGACGTTTACATCTACATAACACCGACGTTTACCTCTACATAACACCGACGTTCACCTCTATAACACAAAATACTGACGTTTACATCTACATAACACCGACGTTCACCTCTATAACACAAAATACTGACGTTTACATCTACATAACACCGACGTTTACCTCTATAACACAAAATACTGACGTTCACCTCTGGTATAAAGGTACTCTCAGGTACAAGCTCTACGAGGCGCCACTAGGTACATCAATGACCGAGGCGCCACTAGGTACAGCAATGGCCCTGGTAGAGAGGTACTTTGTCGCACGTACAGGCTCTACGAGGCGCCACTAGGTACAGCAATGACCCTGGCAGAGAGGTACTTTGTCGCACGTACAGGCTCTACGAGGCGCCACTAGGTACAGCAATGACCCTGGCAGAGAGGTACTCTGTCTCAGGTACAAGCTCTACGAGGCGCCACTTGGTACAGCAATGGCCCTGGTAGAGAGGTACTCTGCCGCACGTACAAGCTCTACGAGGCGCCACTAGGTACAGCAATGACCCTGGTAGAGAGGTACTCTGTCTCAGGTACAAGCTCTACGAGGCGCCACTAGGTACATCAATGACCGAGGCGCCACTAGGTACAGCAATGACCCTGGTAGAGAGGTACTCTGTCGCACGTACAGGCTCTACGAGGCGCCACTAGGTACAGCAATGACCCTGGCAGAGAGGTACTTTGTCGCACGTACAAGCTCTACGAGGCGCCACTTGGTACAGCAATGACCCTGGCAGAGAGGTACTCTGTCTCAGGTACAAGCTCTACGAGGCGCCACTAGGTACAGCAATGACCCTGGTAGAGAGGTACTCTGCCGCACGTACAAGCTCTACGAGGCGCCACTAGGTACAGCAATGACCCTGGTAGAGAGGTACTCTGTCTCAGGTACAAGCTCTACGAGGCGCCACTAGGTACATCAATGACCGAGGCGCCACTTGGTACATCAATGACCCTGGCAGAGAGGTACTCTGTCTCAGGTACAAGCTCTACGAGGCGCCACTAGGTACATCAATGACCGAGGCGCCACTAGGTACATCAATGACCCTGGTAGAGAGGTACTCTGTCGCACGTACAGGCTCTACGAGGCGCCACTAGGTACAGTAATGGCCCTGGTAGAGAGGTACTCTGCCGCACGTACAAGCTCTACGAGGCGCCACTAGGTACAGCAATGACCCTGGCAGAGAGGTACTCTGTCTCAGGTACAAGCTCTACGATGCGCCACTAGGTACATCAATGACCGAGGCGCCACTAGGTACAGCAATGACCCTGGTAGAGAGGTACTCTGTCGCACGTACAGGCTCTACGAGGCGCCACTAGGTACAGCAATGGCCCTGGTAGAGAGGTACTCTGTCGCACGTACAAGCTCTACGAGGCGCCACTATGTACAGCAATGACCCTGGTAGAGAGGTACTCTGTCGCACGTACAAGCTCTACGAGGCGCCACTAGATACAGCAATGACCCTGGTAGAGAGGTACTCTGTCTCAGGTACAAGCTCTACGAGGCGCCACTAGGTACAGCAATGACCCTGGCAGAGAGGTACTCTGTCTCAGGTACAAGCTCTACGAGGCCCCACTAGGTACAGCAATGACCCTGGCAGAGAGGTACTCTGTCTCAGGTACAAGCTCTACGAGGCGCCACTAGGTACATCAATGACCGAGGCGCCACTAGGTACATCAATGACCGAGGCGCCACTAGGTACAGCAATGGCCCTGGTAGAGAGGTACTCTGTCGCACGTACAGGCTCTACGAGGCGCCACTAGGTACAGCAATGACCCTGGCAGAGAGGTTCTCATAATTCATGTTACGAATTAATGTTCGAGCATTACTCAGAACAATCTCTCCTTGTTAACTATTAAAACACAAACAGAAAAACAATTATGTTCAGTTTTATTTGTTGGAACCAGTGCCAAAGTCTAGGCGATGTGGAAGCGGGTCACAAGGCTCTGGAATCTGGAAACAAAAACGCTCTTTCTTTTAATCTACAGGTGCTATTCATTCTGTCTTAGATGCATTGCCTGGTCTTAAGTAAATTACGGTCACTGATGCCAGCTTGAATTTGGAGGAGAACCTACGGTCACTGATGCCAGCTTTAATTTGGAGGAGACGCTACAGTCACCAGTGTGGAGGAAGAGAACATATGGGTCCTGCGTCTTTGTTAGAGGTTTGTGCGATATGACGAAACCATACTCAGACTGATGCAAAATCGAGGCTTTGGGATGTGACATGAATATACAGGGGAAGTTTCTGGTCACAACTAAAAGATTCTTCTTCATTATATACCATTCAACACAATCAGTCTAAAATGCTTTTGCAACTAATATTAACCAATTTGATTAAAAAAAAATATACATCTTACGATTTGCAGACGAGGTCGCAGCCGCTAGAGAGGAGGGCGTTGTTGTGCAGGACGGTGGCGCACTCGGTCTCACAAGCAGCCTCGGTGGCATCAGATCCGATGCTGTCAGCGATCTTCTGGACAACGGCCTTCAGCTCGGAGACATCAAAGAAGGATGCAAACTCTGGTTTGAGAAAATAAACACAATACACAATATCGATTTTTAATACAGATCTTCATGTTCTACCAGTTACGATAAACCATTGAGAGATTGTCATCTATAAGAGTGAGTGAGTATAGTTTTACGCCGCTTTTAGCAATATTCCAGCAATATCACGACGGGGGACACCAGAAATGGGCTTCACACATTGTGCCCATGTGGGGATTCGAACCCGGGTCTTCGGCGTGACGAGCGAACGCTTTGACCACCAGGCTAACCACCGCCCCTCATCAATAAGAAAATATACACAATACACAATAGTTAATTTTAATACTCGGCGACCAGTTGCCATAAGCAACAACAAATACATTATACACACATAAAGTATAAGTTAAGCTTGGTGATGAATGTCCCCATTTGCCATGAGGAGTTTGATTTTGTTCAGTGGTCAAGCTATGTCTTCAAGGTATACTTCCTACAGCATGACCTGTCATCCCCGTTGTTCCGGGAAACACAAACAAAATGAGTGAGTGTTATTTTACGCCTCTATCCGTAATATTCTAACAACATCGTGGTTGATGATATCAGGAATGGGCAATGGTCATCCATGTTTGAAATCAAACTTTGTGATGAGTGAACACTTTAACCATTAGGCTACGCCACCACAGGCAGGTACCGGTAGCTACAATCACAAGGAAATATGATTGGTTGGTTTGTTGTATAACGCCGCACTCAGCAATATTCCAGCTATATGGCAGCGGTATGTAAACAATCGAGTCTGGACCAGACAATCCAGTAATCAACAGAATGAGTATCGATCTACGCAGCTGAGATACGATGACATGTGTCAATCAAGTCAGGGAGCCTGACTACAAGCATGGGTTGCTGAAGACCTGTTCTAACCCGGATCTTCACGGGTCAGGTAAATAGGAACAAAGTTAGTATAATACTCACGGTCCAGGAAAAGACAATGTGCCAGGGGAACAAGCAGAAGGGCGACTACAAAGACTTTCATGACTGCAGAGTTCTGGAATATAATTCACCGCGTTAGATCAGTGGTGAGTGAAAGAGGTCGTATCTTCCTCATCTCAAATATAGTGAGTTGAACATTGACTTGAATGTGGGAAAGATACCCAGCAAATTCAAGATGACAGACGGTAATCCGGCGATACTCCACCTTCTCCAAGGAATCGTGTCCATTAATCTATATAGCATATCATTTACCCTTGCCAGTTCAAGCCTTCTTAGGCCCAGTGGTTAAAGCTTTCGCTCGTCACGCCCAAGACCCGGGTTCGATTCCCCACATGAACACAATGTGTGAAGCCCATTTCTGGTGTCCCCCGCCGTGATATTGTTGGAATATTGCTAAAAGCGGAGTAAAACCAAACCCACTCACTCGCTCAAGCCTTCTTATCTGTGTTACAATATGGAATAGCTACATTACCTTGTCTAATCGGGAACGTTTTAACCAAATTCAACAACCCCAGAAAGTGGTCGTTTCACAGTCCTGACTGTCGAAATGAGCTGAAAGTCTTCCAGAACGAAGACAAATATGGTTCACGTGTGCCATGTGCATATACCGCTGCATGCTACCATCGCTGTGAGTGTCCCACGTGCATGTACTGCTACATGCTATCAACGATGTACGTGTCCCACGTGAATACACTGCTACATGCTACTGACGCTGTGCGTGTCCCAAGTGCATGTACTGCTACATGATACCGACGCTGTGCGTGTCCCACGTGCATGTACTGCTACATGCTATCAACGATGTACGTGTCCCACGTGAATACACTGCTACATGCTACTGACGCTGTGCGTGTCCCACGTGAATATACTGCTGCATGCTACCAACGCTGTGCGTGTCCCAAGTGCAAGTACTGCTACATGATACCGACGCTGTGCGTGTCCCACGTGCATGTACTGCTACATGCTATCAACGATGTACGTGTCCCACGTGAATACACTGCTGCATGCTACCAACGCTGTGCGTGTCCCACGTGCATGTACTGATACAGTCAACTGGCGAAAATATTGTATTGTTTAGTACAAACTTAATACTTTTCAACTGGAACGACTGAAATATTTCACGTTACCACGATGTGCCGTATACCAACATCAATCATTACCATAGTAGCCTGTCAAGGGCGTCTGTTATGGTGGCCATAATTGTTAAGCAAGTCAAAATAGAAACAGTGGTCTGATTGGATGACACGTTTTCATCAGAACGGACACAGCACGGTGGAGCTAAAAAGGATGCCAAATCACAAAATGTAAGCCTGCTTTGAAGGAAAGTTTTCCCCTCCTAACTCGGCAAGTGGCAATTGTCAGTCGACCATATCTTGGCACATATATTCCAAAACTATGGGGGTTCTCTGCTCCTGTAGTCAGGTGCGTGTGTTACCTTTCATCAGGTAAAATACAAGCATTGACATAAACAGTCTCTCTCTCTCTCTCTCTCTCTCTCTCTCTCTCTCTCTCTCTCTCTCTCTCTCTCTCTCTCTCTCTCTCTCTCTCTCTCTCTCTCTCTCTCTCTCTCTCTCTCTCTCTCTCTCTCTCGCCCCCTCTCTCTTTCTCTATCTCCCTCTCCGTGATATTGCTGGAACATTACTAAAAGCAGGATGAAACCATACTCACTCACTCACTCTCTCACACACACACTCTCTTTCTCTCCCTCTCTCTTTCTCTCTATCTACCTATATGTCTATCATTTTCTCTCTCACACACACATACATACGCACTCTCTCACTCTCTCCCCATCTCTATCGATCGCAGCTGATTTTGTAGGTCGAATGTTTGAAGAATTCGGTAACAGCAATAACAGAGATATAATCCAGCTCAACTTACCTATAGAAGACAAGAGACAGGTTACTAAAACTGTAGGTATATATATACCCCTTTAGATAACCTAACCTATCCTAAAAGTAATGAACATATAGCATTTACTTATCGTGTGAAAATTCACAAATGTCGTCATTGCGGTCTTATCTGTGAAGAATATGTTGAAATAGCAGCCTGCACCTCTAACTGGGCTATGACGCGGCAATTTTTTACATTAATTCTGGCGAGATAAAGACAAGGCATTTTTTATCACCGACATTTCATGTAACATAAGATACACACCATTCTGTGGTTGGTTACGTGGAAAGGACCAGACGACGCTTCCATATTTATTGCATTTCTGTCTGAGTGCGTGTGTGTGTAAGTATACGTTATGAGTGTGTAGCTGTGTGTGTGCGTGCGTGTGAGTGTGCGTTGTGCCTCTGTGTGTGTGCACGAGCGTTGTGTATGTGCGTACGTTGCGGGTGTGTGTTCGTGTGAGTATGCGTTATGCGTGTGCGTGTGCGTGCGTGCGTGCGTGTGTGCACGTGAGTATGTGGCGTGTGTGTGTATATATATATGTGTGTGTGAATATGCGGTATGTATGTGCGTGCGTGCGTGCGTGTGTGCGTGTGTGTGTGCGCGCGCGTGTGTGTGTGTGTGTGTGTGCGCGCGCACGTTAATGGTTAATGTAGATGTGGCCTGTGCCAGTCAGTCCATTGATAATGTTGGTCATAACCTGTGTCTATCCCCAGTAACGTACATGTCTACCCAGTAACCTACAACAGGTTGCAGTTACCTGTGCTTGATGTACCTGTACCCGTAATGTATGGCATCTGCGTATTTGGGACACCATGAACCACCTTTGTGCCTGGGGCACCATGATTCCCCCCTGTGTTATGGGCACTATAAACCCGATTCTTATCATGGGTACTATCAACCACCATTGTTTCATTGGTATGAACCATCTTTGTGTCTGGGGCACCATGATTCCCATCTGTGTTATGGGCACTATAAACCCGATTCTTATCATGGGCACTATCAACCACCATTGTTTCATTGGTATGAACCACCTTTGTGTCTGGGGCACCATGATTCCCATCTGTGTTATGGACACTATAAACCCGATTCTTATCATGGGTACTATCAACCGCCATTGTTTCATGGGTATGAACCACCCTTCTCTCTGGGGCACTATGATTCCCATCTGTGTTATGGACACTATAAACCCGATTCTTATCATGGGTACTATCAACCATCATTGTTTCATGGGTATGAACCACCCTTCTCTCTGGGGCACCATGATTCCCATCTGTGTTATGGGCACTATAAACCCGATTCTTATCATGGGTACTATCAACTACCAATGTTTCATGGGTATGAACCACCTTTGTGTCTGGGGCACCATGATTCCCATCTGTGTTATGGACACTATAAACCCGATTCTTGTCATGGGCACTATGAACCACCATTGTTTCATGGTTATGAACCACCTTTGTGTCTGGGGCACTATGATTCCCATCTGTGTTATGGACACTATAAACCCGATTCTTATCATGGGCACTATCAACCACCAATTTTTCATGGGTATGAACCACCTTTGTGTCTGGGGCACTATGATTCCCATCTGTGTTATGGACACTATAAACCCGATTCTTATCATGGGCACTATCAACCACCATTGTTTCATGGGTATGAACCACCCTTCTCTGTGGGGCACTATGATTCCCATCTGTGTTATGGACACTATAAACCCGATTCTTATCATGGGTACTATCAACCATCATTGTTTCATGGGTATGAACCACCTTTGTGTCTGGGGCACTATGATTCCCCTCTGTGTTATGGGCACTATAAATCCGATTCTTGCCTTGGGCACTATGTACCACCATTGTTTTGTAACGGGGAGCACGTGTTTCGTTTCGTGCAGACATTTTACTTCCGGGTGTTGGTCGTTAACTTGCGTTAGTAACTGTACCTTTCGTTGGTCGTGGGTGCAGGAAATGTATTTCCTGCGAGGTTTGGGTATCATACTTTGATTCTGTTCCGTCGGTGGTTGAATTGTTTTCACCGCCATTTTCTGTTGCAGTCAGGTTGTTTGGTATGAGCAATTCTGATTGGTAGGGCAGCTGCGAGGTATTTAAGCGTGTAACACGAATTGTTCAGTGTCTGTATGATCGGCGACCGATCAGAGGTGAGGTTATCCACCGCAATATGTTCCCGTGATGGGACAACAAGATGTTCCGTGACGGAGCAATGAGTCCCGACTCCACTCCCTGTTAGGTTTTTAGTTTATTTTTCGGCCAATAAAGAGAAATTGAATAGAAAAATTGTATATTTTTGGGTAAATTTGTTAATGGGGAGGGCCGGGTGGATTTCAGCGTAATGGAACATGCCAGTCAGTAGGAATTTCGTATATTAGTGTAGGTGCAGTAGATTGTAGGTAGGATTTAGTGCTATTTTAAGAGGGTGGTTTATGTGTAGTTGAGAGGGTTGGGAGAAAGTAGGTTAGGTTATTAATAAAATATTTTAAGTAATTGTGTTTGTAGATCTTTTGTTCTCAGGAATTTGTTAGATTTGACTTATTGTTTATGTTGTTTTTGTTGAGTTATAATTTATGTCTTTATTTGAGAAAATTTTGTTGTTTTAATTGCTCCTCTGCATCCACGAACTGGGAACGGGACGGCTTTGATTCAGAACACACAAAACACAACGCAAAGCATCATGGTCATATGTGGTTAAGGCCGTTCCCGTTACATTTGGTGCCGTGACCCGGATGTAGATGTGCTGCAATTAAAACTATTTTTGTGGTTAAGTTAACATGAAATAAGACTGGGTTTTTTGGTGTGTTTTTTTAAGGATTAGGAATAGGATTAGTTTAAAAATGAATTTTGAACTGTTTGGTCTTTCTGGTTTGCCATCACCTTCAGTTGGTGATGATGCATTTCGCGAATTACCTTCTCGTAGAGCCTCAACTCCACAACATAATCTGGGCGCCAAACATTTTTGCCAGATTTTGGGAAAGGAGGTTATGAGTGTGGGAATACCATCGGGTCAGGATCCGTGACAGCTTCCTCCTATGTTGTCAGCTCTCGATCAGGTCAGTTTGGTGGTAGGTCTGTTAGGTTCGAACCCTCGTCAGATCAAGATAGGTTTGGTGGTGGCCAGAGTTTGGGATCGAGTGCACCAGGTCCTTTGTCTTGGTCTTCGCATTTAGGTAGCTCCCCAGGTAGCAATGTACGTTCAAATGTACCAGGAGTAGTGACTACCCCACGTTCCTCCATTCTGAGAGATGCTAACCAAGGGCAGGGTCGTTCAGACAAAGTTACTCGCAAGGAAAAACAACCTGACACATTCAATGGCAAAACTAGTGAGTGGCAGGATTATATCATTCATTTCGAGCAGAAAAATCTGTTTAGTTAAGTCAGAATCAAATGTTCAGGTTGCCAGGGAAACTGAAAGTCCAGTAACTTTTGACATGTTAGCCAAGCTCATTGATGAGAAATTGGCTAGGTTCAAACAGTCATTTAGCAGGCAAAAATATAGTGATGAAATGAGAACAGGTGCTTGCTTTTATTGTAAGGACAAAAGACATATGATCAGTCACTGTCCGCAGCTAGAAAAGACACGGGGGGTCCACTGTTTCTGATAGGGCAACAACTAACAGTTCGGAAAACTAGTTTGGACTGAGGGAGGGGCCGAAACTTCAGTCCTTAGTTGTCACGTTCAACAACTGACAGGGCCACAATTGGGTAGTTCTAAAGATCAGGAGGAATCTGGTACTACAAAGAAGGGAGCACCCTCCAGTAGTGCTAAGATTACATATCAGGTGCGCAATGTACAGGGTGATCAGAATTGTCTTTACACAAGTATCCAGTTGAATCATGGTACAATATTGATACCGGTTCACCCATTTCTCTGTTGTCCAATAAAGAATTTGCCAGATTAGGTTTTAGTACTGAGAAGTTGTCTCAGGTTTACGTTAGATTGGTGACTGCTGATGGTAGGCAGTTGGACGTTAAAGGTCAGGCTACTTTTGAGATTAAGGTTGATGGTTTATGCTTTGAGCATGCCTTAGTGGTAGCTGATCTTGACGATTTATTTGGCATATTTGGCATGGACTTCTTTGAGAAATACAGGGCTGATATATTGATAGGCAAGCAGATTTTTAAGACGTGTAAAGGCAAAATCAGGTTGTTTAAGAAACTGACCTACAATTGTGCTAAGTTACGGATTGTGGACAAAGTTAGAGTATCAGCCCAGTCAAAAACAAATTATTTCATGCCAAGTTGAAAGGCAACCCTCAGTTGACACCTGTATTGTTGAACCAAATAAACACTGGCAAAAGCAGGGACTATTTGTTGCTAGGAGTTTAGTGCAGACTGATCAGGAAAGGGTAGTTGTTTCAGTTCTTAACCTTAGCGGAAAAAGTGTATGTGTTGTTCCTGCTTCTGTTATGGGAACAGTCTGTTCGGTTGAAAGGGTGGTTGAGGCTAATACTGAACAAGAAAAAGTTAACTTCTGAAACAAAACTTCCCTCTCATCTTCAGTCTCTGGTGGATGGTAGTTCCAGCGACTTAACTCCTTAGCAAAAAGAGTCATTGTCAGATTTAGTCTGTGAGTTTCAAGATGTGTTTGTTGGCGAGGATGGAGCACTTGGTCAAACTGAAATGATAACTCATAAAATAGAAACTAATGATTCAGTTCCAATCAAATTGCCTCCTCATAGGGTACCTTTGGCTAGAAAGGCAGTTGTTGAAGAGGAAGTGGATAAGATGTTAAAAATGGGTATCATTGAACCTAGTGATAGCCCCTGGTCCGCTCCTGTTTGCTTAGTAACTAAGAAAGATGGGAGTGTCAGAGTTTGCATTGATTTTCACAAGCTCAATTTTGTCACGCAAAAAGATGCATATCCGATTTCGAGAATAGATGATATGCTTGAAAATCTAGGTGGAGCACAATGGTTTTCTACTTCGGACCTGGCTAGTGGCTATTGGCAGGTAAAAATGGAACCGAAAGACAAAAAGAAAACTGCATTTAGTACACATCTTGGGTTATTTCACTTTAATGTTATGCCGTTCGGTTTGACCAATGCTCCGGCAACATTTGAAAGGCTTATGAATAGGGTCCTTG